GAGAGGCTCTAGAGAGAATTTTGCAACTGCCTGAAGGGGAAGGGTATGAGGAAGAGTAAAGAGTCAAGGCTGACTGAGAAGTTGAAACCTGGGTGACCAGAAGGACAGTGGTACTAGCAACAGAAACAAGTAAGTATGGAGGAAGGTTCCAATAGGAAGTATGGAGGCAAGAAAATTTAATTAGTTCAGACTTGGACATATTCAGTGTGAGATGCCAATGGGACATCCAGGTGGAGATATTTAGAAAGTAGCTGCTGAACTAGAGTTCAGAAGAGAGATTAGGACTCAATATATATATTTAAGAGTAAGTTACAGGGGCAGCTAGGTGGCGCAGTGAATAGAGCACCGGCCCTGAAGTCAGGAGGACCTGAGTTCAAATCCGGCCTCAGACCAAACACCTGACACACTTACTAGCTATGTGACGTTGGGCAAGTCACTTAACCCCAATTGCCTAAAAAAAAAAAAGAGTAAATTACTATAATTCTTCTTTACAACATTACTAATGTGGAAATACATTTAATATGACGGTACATGTATAGCCTATATCAGACTGCATGCACTTGGAGAGGGGGGTAGCGGAGGGAGGGGGAGAAAATTTAGAACTCAAAACTTTATAGAAGTGAATGCTGAAAACTAAAAACAAATAAATAATTTTTTTTAGAAGAGTAAGGTACACAGAAATGATAAGTAAATTTCTGAGAGTTGATAAGATTGCCAGGAGAAGAGACTGTAAGGCCCAGAACAGAGCCTTGAGAGTAAGCCAGGCTTACTGGGTGGGAGATGAGTGATGAGCCAGGGAAGATGACTAATAAGAAACAGTCAGGCAGCTAGAAAGAGAACTAGGAGAGGACAATGTCACAGAAGCCAAGAGGGGAGAGACTATCTAAGAATAGGGGGGCAAGAGCTGCAAAGAAGTCAGACAGAACAAAATGAGGAAAAGACCATGAATTTAGCAATTACAAGATGAATGTAACATCAGGCAAGTGACTGGATCACAAAGGGTTGAGAAGCAAAGCAGAGTGGGATGAATGTCCTATTTTCAGTAAAGACAAAGACCACAAACCATGTTGTGATGAACTGCATTGAATGAAAGCTTAAAACCAGGATACCGTCATTCACTTATTCATCCCCTCAATTACTATGTGTTGAGAATCTACCAGCTAGAAAAACACGCTCATTAGGCACTGGCAGATACGAAGACCAGCGAGGCAAGCTCCCTGCCCTTAGGGAGTTCACGATCTGGCAGAAGTGACATGATACAAAACAAATATGTCGTGACTATACTACATAACAGAACCTGATAAGAGCCTGAGAGACGTCCAAAGCGGAGCATAAAGAAGTGTACAGAAAGAGTTTTTGTCTGACGGGGCAGGTATAGGGAAGATGGGTGGAGGCTTCATGGAAGTGGCGTCTGACCTAGGTCTTGAACGACAGGTAGGATTTTCACAGGTGAGCACTGCATCCCTGTAACAGGAACACTCTTGAGCAAAGATGCAGATGTAGGAAAGTACCTGACATGTGCAAGAGATGTCCCAAAACAGGGAGCCAACTAATAACCTGTACTGCAGAGAATGCTGAAGTCCCAAACAAATGGGCAGAGAGGATGTGGTGTACAACCTGAAGATCACTGAAACACGAGCTTCCTTTGCATCTTGTCTGTCTCCCTTTCCTTCCCCAAACAGAAAGCCTCGATTCTGCTCTCCTCCATGCCATCTTCTCTAATGATATGGACGGAAATGTCACTAAGCAACAACTGGCACAGAAACAACCCACAGGGCTGGAAATGGTCATCCAGCTACCCAAACCCTAGATACACTGGGCTAGAGATGAAAAGCTGGAAAGCCGTCTTGGAAGGGACACCTCCAACACCCATCATCAGGGCCAAAAGTCCCCCTGACCTGGGAAGCTGGCTGCAGGGACTTGGGCAGGCTTTGCCCGGTTCTAAGTGCCCTTGGGAGAAGATGTTGCTCAGTCACGCACACCAGGCCCCCAGACAAGAAGCTTGGCCGGCGGCAGGCGGAGGGAGGGAGGAGGGCACACAGCCATAGCTGGGGCAGGAATAAAGAGAGCTTTTTTCAGAGCTGACTGGAAACAGGAAGTGCCCAATCCCTGAGAACAGTAACCCTCACACACACTCTACACAAAGACACACTGAGCTGTTAACCCTAATTACCTGTGACGGACACACGAGTGAAGCCCCAACCTTCCAGGCAGCAGATTGAGCGAAAGGAAAACAAACAGCTCACAGGGAATACAGGCAGCTATTTTCCCCCTAAAACAGCCTTCTCACCTCCAAATGATTTGCCTTCTTGCTCCCAGATTATAGTGCAGATGTGAAATGAAAGATTAAATGAGGTTTCTCAGGTATTTCTCCCCACAAGAGTTACCAGCCCAGCAGGGAGCAACGGGACACAAGCAGACCCAAACCACAAAACTTTTCCATGCCTGTCATTAAGTTCATCCTTCACTGCCACCAGCTCACACCTCCTAGGATATTTTAAAAGGGGACTGCGACATTCAACATGTATGGAGTTGAAACTCTATGTTCTTAAAGACAGTTTAAAAGGCTTCGGCAAGAGACCCTGCAGTGGGGTATGCACTGAGAGAAAATAGTCTTCCTAGTTTCCTTTCAAGTTTTAAAATTTTCTTGTCTGTTGTTCAATCATTTTCAGTCGTGTCTGACTCTCTGTGACTCCATTTGCCAAGAAAGGCAAAGATACTGGAGTGGTTTGTCATTTCCTTCTCCAGCTCATCTCACAGATGAGGAAACTGAGCCAAATAGAGTTAAGTGACTTGCCCAGGGTCACATAGCTAGTAAGCGTCTGAGGCCAGTTTGAACTCAGGAAGAGGAGTCTTCCTGACTCTGGACCTGACATTCTATCCACTGTGCAACTTACTTGACATCATTCTAAAAAAATAAAGTTAATCCAAAGAGCTCCACAGTTATGATTGCTTCACTCTGTGAGTGTGTGTGTGTGTGTGTGTGTGTGTGTGAGAGAGAGAGAGAGAGAGAGAGAGAGAGAGAGAGAGAGAGAGAGAGATTTTCCATCTCAGAGAGTTCCTAGGGACACTGAGAGATTCCATGCTAGGGTCCTACACACTCTGTGTCAGAAGTAGCGCTTACCCTTGCTTTTTCTGACCTATACATTCTTTCGATACTCTTCCCTACATATTTAGAGGGAGGCATGAAGCAGAGGTACTGGATTCGAGACCATAAAGACCTGGGTTCCAGTCCCAATTCTGACACTTACTAGTTTACATGATCTTAAGAAGTTACTTCCCACATCTCTAAGCCTTACTTCCTCATTTGTAAATGGAGATAATAAAACCTGTACCTCACTTGTATCCTCACAATATTATATTGAGAAGAATGCTTTGCAAGCATTAAAAGCAACATATAAAAGTGAGGACCTATGTTGACTGCTCACATTTGTCATTTTTTAAGGATAAAATGAATAGCAGTTCACTGTACTGGCACCCTACAGTATGTCCAGCCATTCTCCAATTACTGAACACAATGGCCATATCCAAATGTTTTTCCACAACAAATAAAGGAGCTCTGACTATCTTGTTATAGATAACATTTGGTATAGAATATTTGGTCCAGATTTTTTTCCCCTCTTTGAGTACATCCTTAGGATATAAGTCAAATAACAGAATCACTATGTCCTCTATCCTTTCCTCTAATGGATTAGAAAACCAAACATCCCGATCATGCCTCAGAGAAGCCCATCAGCCAATATCGCCAACCACATGGGTGGACCTTGGTTCGATGGTCAGAGGTCTGACAATGTCCAGTGGGACAACAGAACCATCACTGAATGGCCAACAAGCAACACTGCCTACAGTTGGCAAACAGACCTAGACCAGGCCCCCTGATGGAGCTCAAACACCACCCCCTCCCTTGAGGGGGTCTTTGCAACCATGCCCAGGACTCAAATAATTCCATGGAAGCCTGACTACACAGCCAATCTTGAAACTCCCTGTGACTCATCACAGCTAGTTCTCTCATTTCCTCTCAAGTCTACAACTACTAAAAGTTATTTGGAACCAAAAAATAATAATAATAATAAAACTGTCAGCCCAGCAACAATCATGGTTCGGAGAGACAGACCATGCCAGGGCATGGCTGCCCCCTTACCTTGGCTTGGAACACAGCAGTGTGGAGTAGCTTCCTGCTACTGACAATACAATAAGATCCTGAAAGAAACGGTTTCCCAGACTTACATGAACTGATGCAAAGTGAAATGATCAGAACCAGGAGAACATTGTACACAGTAACAGCAATCCTGTATAACGAGCAACTGTGAATGACTTAGCTATTCTCAGCAATACAATGATCCCAGGCAATTCTGAGGGACTGATGATGAAAAATGCTATCCATCTCCAGAGAAAGAACTGATGGAGTCCAAATGCAAATCAAAGCATACTTTTTTAAATCTTATTTTTCTTGGTTTTTTTGCCCTGTGCTTTTTTTCACAACATAACTAATATGGAAATATGTTTTGCATGACTACACATGTATAAACTATATCAAACTGCCTTCTCAATGAGGGGGCAGGGTATGGAGGAAGAAGAGAATTTGGAACTCAATATTTAAAAAAAAATTTATTAAAAATTGTTTTTACATGTAGTTGAGAAAAAAAATAAAACACTAAGTTTTAAGGAAAAAAAAAATGCTGTTCCCCAGATTTATTTTTGGGGGAAGATCTAAGCAAAGGCCCCACCATATGGTTCTTATTCCCTATAAAAACCAGATTCTCAAGTTAAGGTTTTCCTTCAAGATATGAAAAAAAGGTGGCCTTGATTTCACTCCCTCTGGGTGACAAAGATTCCAAGGCCAGCTTTCCCACCAGGCCAGGGACTACCTGCAGCTCTCCATTCCTCCAGGGAATGCCAACCACTTGGCAATAACCAGCCATGCTGTTGATGCCTGCATTAGTGAAGGAGCCACAGCATTCTGGAAGAGAAGGGCTGAGCCCAGAGAGGACACAACTTACCCAGGAGGCAGTGTTTCCGAAGCCTGTGCTGCTACAAGGGACTGCTGGGCACTGACGCTAGAACCCGGCTCCTGTCCTTCCCTAGGTTCTGCCGAGGCCGGGACAGAAGTAGTCCCGGGGTTCGGGGTCACACTTGACACTGCAGCAGGGGGGGAAGTCACACCAACCACGGGGTGCTCTTCAGGATCAGTGGCTGCTGCAGATTCTCCACTCACTGAAAGTACAGAAACTCAATGAATCAATCAGCTGCTTTTTATCCACTGTCACTAAGTTTTACCTTAAGCTAAACTTACTTTAACTTTGCTAGCACAAGAACCTAGAACATTCTCATATTGTTGAGAACAGCAACAATGATACATTTATCGATTTAACACAGTTTCTAAAATTGACATGAACACATGCCCAGGACCTCTAAGAATCAGCAAAGGTTCTAAAATAAATTGGAGACATCACCTACCTTCTGTGATGCTTTTTTAAAATTCTTATAAGGATGTGTTTAGCAGACTGCTGCGGGTAAATGCTTCTGTTTTACTTCAATGAAAGGGTAGCAGGAAAAAACAAATGTGACTAGGATAATGAGGGGCTGCTCCTGGTAAAAGGCAACAAGGCCAGTGCAAAGTCTATAGGCCCAAATAATTTGCTTTATACTTATCTTTAATTGTTAAAATAAAACTTTATTGATGTCTTTTTTCAATCACCTACATTTCTCACTGCATTCTCTTCCTCTGCCCCTCCCGGTGACCCATCCTTATACAATATTTTATTTATTTATTTATTTATTGTATATTATTTATACAATAAAGGATACAAAAAAGAGGAAGAAAAAAGTTCCTCAAAACCAACATATCCAAAAAGTCTGGCATTACATGTAGTATTCTACATAAGCAGAAGAAGGTATCTAGAAATCTTCTGATGAAAATACTTAGACTTGGAATCAGGAACACTTGAGTTCAAATATGGCCTCAGACATGCACTAGCTGTGTGACTCTGGGCAAGTCACTTAACCTCTGGTTGCCTCAGTTTCCCCAACTATAAAATGAGGATAACAACAGCAACTACCTCCCAGGGTTGTTGTGGGGATCAGATGAAATAATATTCGAAAAGTACTTAGCAAACCTTTTCTTTACATCTATTATCTCATTATGAATACACGTATACAGGATATATGTATGTCATGGGTACATATGTTAACTCTGTCTTCTTCAGGGTCAAGCTTTGTCAGTTTCAGTTGTGTTGGTGATGGTAGTAGTCACTGCCCATAATTCTCCCGATTCCACTTATTTCACTTTCTATCAGTTCACAAAAATCTTTCCATGGTATTTCTGTAATCACCATATTCATTTCTCACAGGACGGTAATAATTCATTGCATTCATGAACCACAATTAGTTAGCCATTCTCCAATCCATGGGTATATACTTTGTTTCCAGTTGTTACTACAAAAAGTGCAGCTACCAAAGTTTTGGTGTATATGAAGTATCTCATCTTGTCACTGACCACCTCAAGGTAGATGCCCAGGAGCAGAATTTCTGGGTCAAAAGATATGGATATTTTAATTACTTTCTTCCCATTATTCCAAATTGCTTTCCAGAAGAGTTGGACCATTTCACAGCTTCACCAACAATGCCCTAGTGCACCCACCCTTCTGAAAACCCTCCAATGCTGACTTTTCCCATCCTTTGTCATCTTTGCCAATTTGCTATAAGTGACCTGAAACCTCACAGTTGTTTTGATTTGCATTTCTCTTATTAATTCACAGCATTTTTTCCATATAGTTGTTAATAATCTGCAATTCTTTTGAGAAGATTTTGTTCATATCTTTCGCCACTAATCTACTCCATATAGTTGTTAATAATCTGCAATTCTAAAAAAATGAAGTAAAATAAAATAAAAATAAAAAATAAAAAAATAATTAAAAAAATAATAATCTGCAATTCTTTTGAGAAGTGTTTGTTCATGTCTTTTGCCACTTATCTATTGGGAAATGGCTTTTGATCATAGATTTCTATTAAATATATACATATCTTAGATATCAGAACCTTATCACATATTTGATACAGTTTTGTTTTTAAATTCCACCCCAGTTAATTGCTTCTCTTCTTATGTTGGTTACATTAATTTTGTTCATGCAAATGATTTTCAATTTCATTTAATCAAAATTACCTAGTGCCTCAAACTGAACACAATGTTCTTAATACAGTTTGACCAGAATAGGGCCAAGTCAGATTAGTGGGGTTGAGAAGAAAGTAGAGGAGAAGGAACTCTGGAAGTGTTGTCAGCAGGTCTGGTCAGTGATCTCCTCTACCCCACAGGGTTAAGAATTCACCCCTACCCACAGCTGTTCTGTTACATTAGACTAAAATAGCATGTTTCTGGCAACAACTTATAAAAGACATTATTCCCTCTGCTTTGCACTTTTGTGTTATCAGTCCTTCAAGGAGATCACATTTAAGGGAGCAGGCAAAGATCATTTCTCACTGTACAGATGAGGAAACCGAGGCTCCAAAGTTCAGAGATTGATATCAAAGATATCAAAGATCATAAGCCACAGCATTGGCAAGACTGAAAAGTGCCAGTTCCCAAATGGCTATTTCACTTTTCCAGATGGCCATACTGTCTCTCCTCCTCTACCTTTAAGTTTAAAAAAAAAAAAAAGGAATCCAGGTAAGTACTGGTTTATTTGGTATGCTAACAAATGAAAACCTCTATTATCTACTTGGTGCTTCACCAGTACTATAATAATTAATGTTCATAATGGGAACCCAAGGTCCTGAAATGTTATTTGAATCAAAGGGTAAATTGGTAAAGATAAAATTGATTAAATTTGATATAGTTTTAAAGTTAAGCCGAGGTATTTTGCTGATATTCTAAATCCTTGGAAACTGGTAAGCTAGTATGTAAGAGTATATAACTCTCTCCAGGGTGACCCCAAAGTCTCAGAACAGTTTTAAAGCTTTAATTGTCTAAGAATTTTAAGATCCCTCTTATTAACCAGAATACTGCACAGAATCATATAATTCTAGAGTCAGAAGGAAACGTGAGAGGTCATCTATTCCAGCCTCCCAAAAAGGGCAGAAATCCCTTCTATAGCACCCCTGAAAAATGGTCATTCAGTTTCTATTTGAATACCTCTGGCGATAGAAAGAAGCCCCTTCCGTTGCTGGACAGCTCTCAATGTCAGAAACTTCTTTTCTCACGTTGAGCTGAAACCTGATTCCTCAAAACCTCTACCCTGTGGTCCCACTTTGGCCTTCTGAAGCACAAAACCAAACCAGCTAACTCCGCTCCATGACGGCACATCAAGTATCTGAAGATAGCAATCATGTGTCCCCTGAGCATTTCCCTCTCTAGACTAAACACACTCAATTTCTTCCATTGTTCCTCAACTAACATGGCTTCCAGACCCTCCACCAAGCTCATGGCATTCCTCTGCATTGGCTCTCATCTGACAGGGCCCCTCACCGGGTGGTGCCTCCAAGTGAACACAACATTCCCAATGCAGTTTGACCAGAATAGAGCCAAGTCAGTCCCATGCTTCCCACAGTCGAAACCCCATTGGTTCCCTCAATGAGAAGCAGTATGGCATAGGAGAAGGAACCCTGGAATTGTCCTCAGCACATTTGGCTTCAAGTGCCATACTCTCTACTTCCTAATTGTGAAACTTTGACCAAAAGAACCTTCTCTCTGAGACTCAGGTTCTTTTTCTATAATAGGAGTTAGCAAACCAGCCCAAGGGTCAAATCAGCCCTCCAACTGTTTTTGTATGACCCACAAGCTAAGCATGGTTTATACATTTTTAAATACTATTTTTAAATTTTAAATGACATTTAAACAATATTTTCACATTATGAACAATATCTGAATATTTAAATTTAAACATTATTTTTAAAATGTAAAAGCCATGCTTTGAGAGACAGTGGGCTGAATTTGGTCTATGGGCCATAGTTTGCCAATGCCTGATCTATAATATGGATCTAATAATACTCCCCATCACATAATGAGATAATGTATGGAAAACACTTCGTAACTACAGAGCACTATTAAAATGTGAAGGACATACTATTATTATAACATAAGAAAAAGGTACACTGTGGTATATGAATACACTAGCACTTGACGGGCTTGGGGAAACAGGACCTCTTATTTCACTGGTACAGGGAACTCCCAGTGAGCGAAGGGCCCCTGCTAACTCAGCCTGGGGCCTACTCTCCAGTTTAGCGCCCCGGGCAATCAGTCTAGTGTCCACCAGGGCACATAGCTACTGTGTGTCTGAGGCATTAGCCCTTCTAGCCCTCAACATCACACGGCTGGCACACAGCAAGCTCACGGGATTTTACTAGGCACATGAACTGCTGCCATGACAGACCTCCTATTCCTATTCTCATGTAATGGATCTGTTAAATTAACATGCAGCATGGGGGAGGGGATGAAGTCAGAAGACCTGGATTCAAGTTCCTCTGAAATATATACTAGCTATGTGTCTATGGTAAAACGACTTAATCTCTGTGCCCTAGAAACCTAAGACTGCCAATCTGCAATGGTAGAGGGAATTCCTACATGGAAAGTCCCTTACAACGATGAAATCAAAGCTCTAAACCAAACCAAACCAAACATTTATCCAAGTCTAAATTCTATCTGACTGGTTTGAGCTCAGTTGGGACCACTGGTATTTCAGCCTCTCAAGATCCTTTTGATTCTACCATCTCTAATATTAACTCTATGTTAAGAGGCACAAGAAAGAACAACCTTAGTACTGGCATTCTAGTAGTGAGTAGACCTGGTGTCCACCACCTCGGTTTCCTCAACTACAGCAGAGAGGAGACAACAGTCAGGCTAAATCAAGGGTCTTCGAGGATGGGTGCACTCACAAAATTAGAAGGAAAAAAAAGAAACAAAGAGAAAGGAAAACTTGTCCTGGAGATCAGCTTGCTATATGCCTTATGTGGTGGTTATACTCAACTTGGCACTTTATTTTAGACTATCATTTCTTGGTTTTTAGTCATTTCAAGGCTAATTTCTGCACAAGTGAAGTCAAGTCTCTAAAAAGATCAGAATGTCACTGAGAGCAGGGGCTACACCATTAACTTCTTTGTCATTCACCATCTCTTGGGTCCCAGCACAACCCCCAAGATGATCCTTGTACTCACTATCTACCCCAAAAGCTTTCTGGAATCTGGGTTTTTACTCAAGCTGATTCTCTCATGTGGAATGCCTT